GTGTGGATATAGCACAAATGAACAATGGACAGTCAACCTCCAACTCCTTAAAACAAATAGTGAAGAAAACAGCATGGGATGCAGTTTTCCTCATCCTGTTTCTTCCCAGATTTCTGTCCAGTAGAGAAAAAATTCACCTGCTTTGCTCCAACAATCCTACTCAGACCTAAGGCAGACCAGGTCCTCCCCATTTCCTCACGGCTCAGCACAGGTGAAAGAATCCACAGACTGTGCACCCCAGTGGCTATTAAATCTCCCCAAATACAAAACCTTGATTAAGGAGGAGTGAATCTCAACAGAGTGATACATGGGGTTGTGAACAAGTGCACACACTTTTGCTGCAATGCATTCACGAGATCACCAGAGCACCATTGCACATGAATGGGGCTCAAGGGACTCCCCTTCTCCATCAGCCTTCATGGGAGTGGTAATCTGGATGAGCTTGTGCTGCGTACTGCTTCTCATGATGTGAGGCTGACCTAGTCGGGGAAATCCTGCCTGTGTCTGAGTGCTCGCCACTATAGATTGCCAGTAACACTCGCCAGATAGTACTTAAAGGAAACGTTTTTTATTATGGAAGACGTCAACCTGGAGACAGAGGGTAAAATCCCAACTGCCTCCCCATTTACTGGAGAAAGAAAGGATTTATGGGCTTTTGGGATGGCGGCTGTGGGCAAGTGGCCAGGTTCAAAATCTCCAGGTGTGACAGGCAGCTGCCTTCTGAGGCCACCTGTGGTGCCAAAGTTTTGTCTGGTTTCTCTGACCTCGTCTCCTTTCCAGCTGAGCTGGGCTCTTGTGACTTTGCTGTGTTGTAATTTAATCTCAGGTGATGGTTTAGGGCTAACCACAATGCAGGAAAAGCAAAGTTATTTTTCAAGAAAGCAAGCTAGAGGGTATTTTTTGTGTGTGTCAAGAAAGCAAGCTAGAGGGTATTTTTTTATGTGGCTAAGGTTACACATTCAGACTGACCAGCGAGTCCAACCTTTCCTGCAATTAGTGGCACAGTCTTTACTCCTAACTCTGTGGTGGGAGATGGTAGGGCAGGAGGTCTGGACAATGTGCAGACTTGGGGTCTGTGGGTGAGCCAGGGATGGGATGGAGGAACAACCACAGACGGCAGGGAATCAATTCCAGAAGGAAGAAGCATGAGATTCACCTATGGGTCCCATCGCAGGAGTGCAGAAAGGGGCTCTCCTGTGAGGCTGTCTTAAGAGAGTGCTGTTTTCATCTGATGTCAAAAATCATGAGAGGGCCCTTCAAAATGTTTGTGGAAAGATTTGTACTATCTTTCAGTTCTATTGTCCACAAACTTTTTGATGTACCTTGTATTATTTAAGAGGCATTTACTTGGTAGAAGGATACTGATACTGTAGAAAATTACTGGTGATCATGTTTAAAAAAAATAAGGTTAAAATATATTTTCTGATTGATAGGCACCAACAATAAAATTGCATTTAATTTGGAAAATGAGGTAGGGTGTCATTGGAATTTCTAAGCTAAAGTGGGGAGACTGAAAAGCCCTGTAGGTGGGTTCGAGTGCGTAAGAGAGAAAGTACAGTTCACAAAAGTGCATCCAAAAAGTATCAGCACGGTCCAGTTTGACCCTCTCTCCTATATTCTATTCGAGTACATTTTTCAAACTCTACAATAATATTCTACAACTGATATGTCCAAGTTTTTGTTCATGCCATGAGTGAGATAGGAAGTTTGCAGTTGAAATGGTGAGTTCTTTTCTGAGTGAACTGATTCCTGAGTATAACAGACATTTTGTAGACAAATAAATTGTATCATTCAAACTTTGTTTTGTTTTTGTTTTTTTACAGTGATTTTGGTGGTCATTACTCATGTTTATAGTAGCATAAAAATATATCTGAAGCCATAGTAGCATTAAAATATATCTGAAGAACTTGAGGTATGCAAAATATTTTTGAATTGGTGATACATATTGAAATATGAAACCTGAGATTTCAAAACATTTTCAATTTTATTTTCACTATTTTCAATTTTATCGATTGTTTACAATGATATCTAGGGCCTTTGGTTACATTTGTGAGTTCTGAGTATTTGGTGAAGGTATAAGAAATAATTAAGAAAACAAGAGAATAAAAGAAGAAAATAAGAACAGAAATAGAAAAATCTAGTGAAGTAGGAAACATTATTTCCTAGTTCAGTCCCCAACTTGGAACCCTCTCCTACCTTCTAGCCCCCAAGCCTCATACTTGGGGCTGTCCCTCCAGTGTGTGAACAAGATATGCATTTCCATGTTCTGTACATTTCCATGTTCTGTGCATTTGCGTGGTACGTGCCTGGCAACCACACCCAGCACAGCCTCATTCCAGACCTCATCACCTCTGAGTTCTGAAAGTCTGAATCTGAATCACACTTGAATCACACCTGGTTGTCCCACTGCTTTCTGTCTTCTGTGGACTCCAGAATCCCAGAACCTGCTCCCTCTCATCCTGGCCTCACTTCCCATGTGGCCTTTCCTTCCTGCCCTCTCTCCTCCACCATCTGTACTATCTAGACCCACATACACAGGGGATCTGCTGGCCATGCTCTCTGGTCCCCCATGCCATGTGCAGCCCTTGCTAGAGCATCCTCAGCTACAGCTGTCCTGCGCACATGGGCCAAGGCCCAGACCAGCTCAAGAACCCTTGTGGCAGAAGGCACTAGCAGCTTTCACAGAAGTCCCAGTGCCTCTCCTGGTCACTCAAGGACACCCATGCCTGCTCTTTCTGTGATCTTTCCTCCAGGTTGCTCTGCTGCCCACCCCCACCCCCATAGCAGGGCTTGGACCCTTTCAGAAACCTGCTCCTGCCACATCCATCCACAGCTCACCTCCTGCAGAGACAATCCCCTCTCTGGACTTCCCCAGCACCTGCCTGTCCACTTGCACTAGGTGGGGTTACATTACAGTGGCAGGTGGGGCTCCCCTGCCTCTGTGGTCACCTGTACACATGTGCATTTAGCCAACAGCACCTGGGGGTGCTGACAGCCAAGGACCCACATCAGGACATAATGGAGGAGCTGGCAGAGAAGCATCCTGTTTCCAGGCTCCACACCAGCACAGTTTGGGGGTCCAGTGTGTCCCCCTACAGTGTGCACCTCCCGTGCCCATACTGAGGGTTCCTCTGGGCTCAGCTCACACCTCATGTGGGCATGGGCTGGGGTGACTCCCCTTTACAAAGTGTGACACCCATTCAGTTGAAGCTGAGGCCACACTGTTCTCCACTTTCACCCACACTGATGTCTGAGGTGTTCTGTTTTGTCTTAGCCACAATTTCACTGAATGTTCTTGGTGGCAGCTGCACCAAGCCAGCGTCCCAAGTGTGAGGATTTGGGGAGCACAGGCCAAGGGCTCTCCATGCCTTTCCTTTATGTCCCAATCTTGTCTCCCACCACCCTGTGATTTGGGGAATTCCTTCCATCTCAGGCTCCCCTCCCTGCATACCTTCCATACCTCATGAGGCCTTAGATGTTCCCAACTTCCATCCAAGGGCATCCCCAACTATTTTTTTTGCCTCCCACGGATTTGTTACCCCTTTTCCACTGGGTGATGGAGCCACCAAAGATTACTCAAAGCCTATCTCTTCTAAGTAGTGAGAAGCCCCAGAAAGGGGTTAATGTCCCGGAACCCTCAAGAGTGAGGCATTCCTTCCATTTGGGAAATTAACCACGAATTGGGTTTCTCTTCCCACATTTATTC